GGGTTTAGGGAAGAATTGTTCTTGCATCAGCAGGCATTCGGAGCATGCCGCATAAGGAGATGGTGAAGTTGGAGGACACTGCTGGTATGCTCTACCACAGGAATATGCAGCATTGCTGTCATTAGCACCGTACAACTTGATCAAAATGTATTTTGAAAGTTGCCAGGAGAAAGAAGGGATGGAAGAAGTCACCTTTCGTAGCACGCTATTCCTATTCGCATTGAACACCCTGTCTCATGAAAACACACAGTTTTATAAACCACTTGTAGTCTCTTACTCACAAATTCCTTTCATCATCAGAATAGCTATCAGCTACAGCATAGTTAAGAATGTCACCGTTACCCACTCCGATATATAGAGACCATACACAAGAATTGCTTGAAGCAGCATTAATGTTAGTAGTATTGATTTAAGCCAGTTGAGAGTTACAGGCAGACACATGAATAAGCAGGGCTAATCTTGCACTAGTTAGGGAAGCAAAACTTCTACCTCCCAAATGCTTTTTCTGGAGGAAAAAAAGAAACCAAAAGTCATTTGGGTTTTTTATTTTTTTTTTTTTTTAAATGAAGTGTTGCTGAAAATCATTAGCTGAACAATGACAGCATTTTCTAGTTACAATTTAAAGTGGGTAAGATAAAGAAAACACAAATAATGGTATAAATAACATCAAGCAACAGCCTTTGCAGAAACTGCTGAAGGCAATAGCTATAACTGACACTACAAATTCTACTTACATATCTACATATACAAATCTATACATTCAATAAATACAGCATCAGTTGAATTTTAGTCCACTGCTTCACTATTCAATACAGGATAGCTCAGATTTTACTGTAGTTTTCTAATACAAATCCACAACAGAGTCATAGAAGAAATTCAGTTATTGACATAGCTTATAGAGAAAGTAATGATCAGCAGCACTAACAGCAGGAAACTCAAAAGCTGATGTTTTGCCTTCCTTAACTACAATGGGGATTTCTCTATCAGCCGATCCTCTGTCACTCATGCTGCAACTCTTAAGCATAGGGAGAAGCGCTACGTTTCTTATTTCAGCTTTTTCTCCGATTTCTGTACATTTTTAGACTAGTCTCAGACATTTGGTCCTTATATTAAGAGTAATTTTATAGCTAATTATAGAGATTATAATTTCTTGGAATGTAGCAAACAGAACTATGATGCCAAATCTTCTCCATCTCTTCATGGGATGCCAGGAAGAACTAGATTCGTTATTGATGTAGATTAATGTTCACCCTAAAGTGTAAAAGGTAAAAAAAGGAAAAACAAGTCAGTCATGGGCACTCTACCAAAGCTACTCATGGTTTCAGCTGTCAAGAAAGAGAAAAGCTTTTTGAAATTTATCTAATACATTAAAAAAACCCACAAACAACACCTCAGATCTAATAATCTTTTGAAAAGCACTTAATAGAATGCAGGTTCTTTGGCAAACACTTACTATTATCAGATTATGAAAGCAGACCATGATTTTTTTTTAATACATATAATTAAAAAATGTTCTCACTTAAGTGTCAAGTCTATTAAAATGTATCCCCTTCATTTTTTAGGAGTCTATGCCCCAAGCAGGTATTTGGGATTAAGATGACAAGATCTACATCTTTTTCTTATCAAGTTTTCACTATCTATTAAACCTTTGGGTTAAATTCTCCAAAAAGATTAGTGCAACTGCACAGTGCTTACTCCATCAGCATCAGCTGAATTCAGTCTCACTGCACCTTACCATAACAGAGTCCTAGCATTCTTATAAACTCACAGTACCGCAGACAGAATTTTTGGAAGACTATGGATAGTTTCCAAGAGATACCCACCTTTAGCTGGGCAAATGGTTCTAGCTGACCATTAGATTTCCATGGCAAGTGGGAAAATGAAGCATTTCCAGGCTTATTTCCTTTCTTCAGTGTTTGTGAGAGAGAACCAGCTGCACACACTCACTGCAGGAGAAATGGGTGGAAGGCTGTACCCAGCTTACACAAAGAGAGGACAAGGCATCCTCCATTATTTAGGGTAATATATGAGACTCAAGGTCAGAGGACCTAGTTGTATCACTTCCAGGAGCCACCTCAATGGCAACGAAGACTGTAAGCATCAGAGTACCAAATGAGCACGAACCATAAACACTCCTGTTAAGTTGTCAAGGGGAACTGCTAAACTTTAAACTCCAAAATAAAGGACTCCCAGAGATCCAGCTAGAGCTAGAACATTTATACAAACTGCCACACGATGGAAGCCACAGAACTTTATCTAATCAATGATTGTTGCTGGGAATCCTACATTTCGTAATGAACTACAGCACCTAGAGCAGGTTGGAAGATTGCTGTTAGCGCCTCTAACTCTGTGTCACACATATTTTGGCTTGCAGGACAAACAAGGAAACAGTTTAAGATGATGTAGGCTGTAACATGCCTCCTGTCCCACCTGCATGAAGCACAGAAAACCTGTTTGAACATGGATGCCACTATTTGTGCCACAGAGCCGGGCCCAGGCTTGCCAAACACAATCCTGTGATGCCAACTGCTGGCTAAGCCAGGAAGCAGGAGCCGCTGTGATGAGGAACAGATGAAAACTGTTGCTCATCACAACGAGAAATTCCAACACCCCATTTCCTCCATAAAAGAAAACTTCACTCCTGAGAAGTTTCTTGTTCGGTATCACAGAAAGTGAAACAAAGAAAGAGTGGAGGGAAGAGAGCAAGCGGGGTACTTCTGGTGAGGTCAGAGCTGCGTTTTGTCACATAACGTAGTGCAGAGCAGAGCTGTTCTGGGCACGCACACCGTAACTCCTCTGCATGTTGTCTACATCCCTGGTTCAGAAAGACGCTTAAGTATACACGTAACCTTTGAAATATATGTTTAACTACAATATATAGTTTATATTTGAAACTAGACTGCACAAGTCTTATCCTAACCAAAAATAATATATTACACTTCTGGCATGATCATGTTACAAAATCCAACTGCAGGGTTCACAGAGTATAGTTCTGGACATCTGGCCTAGGTTTTTTTTTCCTCCAGAGAACCCAGAAAAAGGACAGGCAAGCATTCAACGTAGACAAAAATCCCAAAACTTAGGGGTTGGCTTTGATGCTATCTTTCAGGAAAAACTGCAGTTCAGAGCTTAAAATACAGGGCGGGGAGGAACCCTCATACCCTCCCTGTCTCTGCTTCAGCATTACTTAACCTTTCATAATAGTTTTCCATGTCTATGCAACATTTCTAGCAACTGCTAACTAAGTACATGTGTGGAGGGTCTAGAAAATAAATTTAAAACCATGCCTTAAGGATTAATATTAGAGTGCTCAGAATGGAATTCTGAAAACAACTGTGCTGCACACTGAAATATGGCGCTTTATTATTTTCAGTGCTTTTGACTAATCCTGGATTGAGATAATGCTAAACAGATTCAATTAGTTCAATAAAAAGAAGGCAACATTCAGTCTAGCAAAGTCATTCATTATAATATTTATTCTATGAAACAAAGAAGAAAACATAAGATTAAAAAATGTCCCATGCATTTCATAAAATACAGAGAAAGACATTGTCACAAACAGAACTGAGAACAAGCAAGAAAAAGCCCCACTGAAGATCCTGAGTGCGCCACTCTCCACATTGCATCATATACATGCAAAAAGCATATACAGGATAAAGAGTGGTGTAAGGGAAGTGGCAGGTTATCCGTCAGTATCTTGGATGAGTAAATGAGCCCACAGACTTTTGCCATCACCCCTCTTTTATCAGAAAACCAAATTGATGCAATTTGTTTTCCTTGCTACCAGTTCTTGGCATTGCCTTTGGCTGGGAAACCAGAATTCATATTAAGTTGCAGGCTAGAAAGGTACTAGGGCCCAAAGTGTAGGTAGCTACAGAAAGATAGTAGGATACGATGGGTGGGAGGAGATGGCAGTTGTTCCACTGCTGGAAGCAAGGTGGAGGGACATGCTTTAACTATCTTAACTGGGAGCATGAAGGGTGGGAAATACATCCTGCGAAAGAAGGATGGGCAGAAGCAGGGAATATATCTAGTACCTCTCTTTAAGAGTCCTAATAACATGAAAGACATGCTGCATTATAAAAGGATGCTGAAAGCAACACCTTTATTTAGGTTACCGTAAGTCTTCTTACTGAAAGCTTTTGATCCAGTTCCTTCTCTTCATCCTATGGTACTCCATTTGGCTTTAGCAAAGCTGTTACAAGATCTCCTCTTGCCTCTCTCTCTCTTTTTTTTTTTTTTTTTTTTTTTTTTTCTCTGACAGATTCTCTCAGACTCCCACAACGGTTACCAACCACATAACTACTGACCACAAAGCCAGTCTAATTCTGGACTCTGATACAAAAGCAGTCCCCATCTCTTACCGGGAATGCCCAAAACCTGCCACAGCTGTATTTGGGGAGGATGGTGTAGAGAAAGGAAGAACAAGGCTCCACTTACACAAACACCTATTACCCCCAAAACCCCACTCCATGCAGGCTTAGGAACACCACAATCAAAGAGTTTCATGTGGGGAGGAGCAAAGAGAAGACAGCGGACTGGGATCCTTCCCCCTGCACTCATGGATGCATCCACTTCTCTGACAACAGTATTCTTCTGCTAGCTACCAAGCTATCTCTGCTGCAGTGCGGAAGGTTCTGCATTGGCCTCCTGTGAATGATGCACCATGGGGGAAGATTGTTACAGTTACAAATGTGGTTTTCACGTTGTTTCTTAAAAACATAAAGCTAGGAATTCATATTATTAAAAAATTTACACTAAAGTGTAACTTAACCTGTAGCATGAAATATTTCAAAATTAGAAGATGCGAGATACTGTATGTGAGAATGTAGCCCATGCTACACCTTAACTCAGTTCCTTTGCATGTACGTGTCAGGAATATGACTTTATATCACATGATCTTTTCACCTTTCAATCCCCAGAAGAACCTTATTTCATTCCCTGGACAAGCACAAATGAGGCAGAAAGAAGACTCCATAGGAAATCCCAAGTCCAGCATTTCTCACTTTTGAGTGCTTGCAGCTAGAATAATGTTTTCTTGACGGAGTTTTTAAAATTCAATTATGTTTTATGTGCTCCATTTACCTTGCATTAGGCAAACGGAAAATGCTGTAAAAGATTAAGGTCTCCGGTCTTCACAGGTCTCCACAGGCCTTGGTGAAACAGAAAGGCTGAGTCTTCTTTTAAAATAACTGCCCAGCTTCCTAGCTAGTATAATTTCTATGTTGTCCATGTAAACATTACACAGAGTCTTTGTACCACCCACTAAGCTCTTTGCTTCAATCAACTATTTGTGCCCAAAAGCACATCCTCATGTTTCTTCCTACACCACAGCCATCCTCCTACGCCACCAAAGATGCAACAAAATAGGAATTAATCATAGGCTGGATACTCACAGGGATTGCTGCTGTTTGCTTCTGTCTTCCCAGCCCTGACAAGTTTGATTGAGTTCTGCTGTGCTTTGCCCTGCTCCTCTCCAGTTAGCAGGGCTTTTATTTCAGAGGGGATTTTCCCTTGGTCCATCGCCATGCACCACTGCTTGTACTGAAATACGCAAACACATTAGGCATTAGCAAACTGCCAGGATCACATCAGCAGACAAAACAGAGCTGTAATCTTTCCCTTCCGGTATATTCATTTAAGGTTTGAATTTACTGGGCTGAAGCCTCTTACGAAACTGCAGAGCACTAACAAGCTAAGCACGTGTCCACGGTTCCATACCTGGCCTCAGTAAATCCTGTTTCAGTCAATAAACTGCTATTCAGTGGCAGTACCAGACACAATACTGTAATTATTAAACAACACGGAACACTTTGTGCATTTTCTCACTGCTGGCATGCCAGAATACCGTTCCAGTTCATGGCCTATTAAAACCAAATATTTCACATGACTCTGGGGCTGATTGACTATTAAGACGTCCTTTCTGATTGTGCAAGGCATGGTTACAGCACATGTGCCTTATTCCTCATCTTAAATTCTTCATTGGCAAACCCTGAAGCACACCGAAAAACCTGTGGTCAGTTGGCTGACTTTCCACCCAATCCTAACCCTATTCACCTGTGGTGATTAGCCCTGCCTATTCAAACAAACCTAATGCAAGGTCAAGGCAATATCCTCAGCTCCAATGAAACTTCAAAGGCATCTCAATATCACTGAGGGGCTGAGTCTGTATTTCCAGAGGAAACATTCTCTTTGGTTAACACAGTTTATTTGGCCAAGACACCCATCTTATATGTCCTGGAACACAGGACAGCTGTGCAACCATCTACACAGAGAGATTCCTGCAAGAATCCACCTCCCCAAGAAAAAGAAAAGTCTGTGGGAAGCAATGACACACTGTGAATGTATGTACCCCTTGATATTTTGACACATCTCTTTCCACCTCTACCTCTTTCTGCCTCTTGTCAGAGGTTTTCCAAACCAAACATTTTAACTACAGCAGACTCATGAGCGATGGCACTTTCTTTGCTTGCTTCCAGTTCAAAACCAGCAGATAACTTGTGACATGGGGTTCATATTCAACGCACAAAGTAAGCAAACAGCTGAGTGCATCTGTTACTGATGTTTTGATACCTTATTTCTAGCCAAATCCCACTCTCAGTCACAGCGATTTCAAGAACAAATGTCCAAGAGGGCAGGTCCCAAATAATACTGACAGTTAGGTTAAATGACAGTTTCTTACCATTTCAAGCTCTTCTCTAAGAGCGCAGATGGCTCGCTCCCTGCTTGAAACCAGCTCTTCCAGGTACTGGTACCTCAGCTTCTTCCTGGCTCTGCACTCTCTTGCACTCTGACGACTTCTTTCAAGCTTTGCCTTCAAGTCTATTTTGGATGGTTTACGACCTCGCTTGCCTGGTTTCTTCACCTTGCCTCCCACCACCTGGAAAGGAAGGTTACATTAAAGATCCTGTTCTGCAGAGGTAATGCTGGAGCCATGTCATTGCACCTACTAGGTATCTCAAGTAGAAAACTTTGCATGTACTTTCACCAATTCTAAGCAACAGAGGAAAGATGTAGCTTGTTTATGGGGCTCATGCATGAGGTTTTCAGTGACAGCATCAAAAACAAAAGGGAGGGATATGACTTCATACCAAAGTCAGTCCTTAAGCAGTCCTGTTGTAAATCCTACTAATCAGATTTGGAGGAACAGCATCACAAAACAGTTGAGGTTGGCAGGGACCTCTAGAAGCCATCTGGTCCACCCCCCCCTGCTCAAACAGGGCCACCAAGAGCCGGTTGCCCAGGACCATGTCCAGATGGCTTTTGAGTATCTCCAAGGACGGAGACTCCATCACCTCTCTGGGCAACCTGTGCCGGTGCTCGGTCACCCACGCAGTAAAAAGTTCCCCGATATTCAGAGGGACCCTCCTGTGTTTCAGTTTGTGCCAATCACCTCTGGTCCTGGCACCGGGCACCACTGAAGAGCACCTGGCTCCCTCCTCTTCACACCCTCCCCTGCAGGTGTTTGTACACACTGATGAGGTCCCCTGAGCCTTCTCCTCTCCAGGCTAGACAGTCCCAGCCCTCTCAGCCTGTCCTCACAGGAGAGGTGCTCCTTCGTCATCTTAGCGGCCCTTTGCCGGACTCTCTCCAGTAGCTCCATTTCCTTCTTGTACTGGGGAGCTCAGAACCAGACACACTACTGCAGATATCCAGGAGGATATCTGCGACACCTAGGAGACAGAGACGATCAGTCAAATTCGTAGCAAAACTGTTTTATTACTACCAACAACTCCTGCCCTAATGTAGTGTTTCTAGCATTGCCAAGTATTATGGAGTTTAACACTTTAATTTGGAAGAAAAAAAATATTTATTTATAATACCAATATAACCCAAAACTTAGTTTTGCTGCAATAAAATTACCATAGTTTCAGCCTACTCAAAAGATTAAACTTGTCAGAATTACTCACTAGCCATCTCAGCTTCCTCAGTCCTGATTTCTTTCAAAGGAATCTTTTGAGGATTTTTACTAAACAGGGAACTCTGTTACACTGAGTCCTACCTCTGCTGCCTCTACTCCAGTTGCACTTCACTACTCTGGCCATGTTTACATTCAAAACAATACTACATGGCCTTGAAAATTGTCTCCTCATGCAACCTATCCCAATGCTCAACTCTCCCAGCACCTAATTTAGATGTCCCTTGCAGAACTGTAACCCCCTAGTTTCTTGTCCTACGGACTGCAGGTTTTGCAAGCATTTTCCTCTCTTCTTTGTGGCTTTTTTTTTTTTTTTTTTTTACAGGTCGGAAAGCTTCCCTTGCTACAAATAAAAAAAAAAGAAGGGAATAGTTTCCTCAATGTTTACTTCTTCCTCACCCAAATATTTTACTCTTAACAGGAGAGCATGGCACATGAAAGTCTTAAATATGGTCTGAAATTCAGGACACTGGCTGTTGGGTAGTATTGCTCCATAAGCATTACATCAGCCACACACCCCACCTCCCCTCCGAAGCAAGGATTTCTCTTTATTTGCATTCTGATCACACTGTTTGAATGGAGGGGGTGTGGAGAAACACACCTAACGTGCACACCTACATACAAGAATTTCATTGCTGGCTTAGTGTTTCACCATACTGTGTATAGACAGTACTTTTTCTCATAGGCAGTGTCCAAAATTAACAGTGTTCATAATTAAAAAAAGGGCACTTTTTACTGTGTGATGCTACAAAATAAGTCAGCTTTGACATTCAAAGAAGTCATTTGTTCTACAAACTTAGCAGGCTGCAATAAAAACAATAACATAGTGAATTGATGTGCTAGAATGAAGAAAAAAAAGTATTATACAATTGAGCCTATTCTTTCTCTGGAAAGTAAATCACCAACCACATGCCAACATAATCCTACCCTCTCTATATTGCCTCTCCTATTTTATTCAGGTGGAGTTGCCTACCATAAGCAAATGCAGGATCTGAAAGTACTTAATGGATATTTAGTGATAATGAAACAAACATCATAAATTCAGAAAAGCAGAGAAAAAAAAAATCAATCTCTTTTCCATTTGAACTGCTGAATACGGTATGAATAATTCATTCACTCCGCCAAGGTGCTCTCCTTAAGATCTTCTAGTTCAGATACTATATTCAGTGAAATAGTATAAAACTAACCAGCCATGGCCAAGGGGGGAAAAGCTCCAAAGAAAGGAAAGGGACTGTCCCATTTTGGGCATGACAAGCGCAGCTCTGTCCTCTCATGGAACCACACTCATATTTCTGCATGGTGTGATTTATATGCCTAAATCAGTAGGAGTTAGAAATACACACAGTCTTCCCAGGAGGGGCTGTAGGCACTCACAATTTGTTATCTATTATTATCTGCACTTGAAAGATTTCTGTATATGATATTATACGCTACAACCAAAGTACTTCAGTTCTCAAAGATTTTTAGTGCCTGAGGTTTTCCTGTGCCAGTGCAAGGTAGTTTAAAGTAAATCTTTGAATTCAAGAGCTAGATAAGGTCTTGTAGAGACATACACTCCAGCTCTCTTTAAAAAAAAAAAAAAAGAAAAAAAAGAAAAAAAAAATCAAACCTTTGCCACTCTGTGAGCTCTGAGCCTCTTGACGAGTGGGCTAGCACTCGAGGTTGGAGTCCCAGCACACCACGTAATGCTGTAGGAACAAAATAACTCGAGTCTCAGTCCTGTGCGTGTCACAGCCATGCACTTTCACCGGAATGCCAAGGACCTGTTATTTCAAAGCATCTTGTGTATGCTTATGTGTAGCCAATGCCTTTTTCAAGGGAGGGGTCACATCAACACAGAAAACATACAAAGGGCAAGGGAGAGTAGATTGCTATGCCAACAAAACAAGTGAGCTCGTACAGACTCTGGGTTTAAAGGCATGTTTCTACACACAGATCTAGAGATGCGGACCTAAAAGAGTTAAAGGCACTTTGTAGTCTGCAGGAAAATTAGACACTGGTGTAGACTGCTTTGCACATTGCCAAGGCGTCCCCGATCCACCACGATGAGCTAACTGCTTTCCCTTTAATCACTCAAAAGAGCTTTCTACAGATGGCTGTACTAATTGCTCGCTCTCCCCCAAGATCTTTTCCCACTGCAACAGCCCCGCACACAAACTCTCTTATGGGAGGAAAAAGGCTTGTACCTCTTGGGTCATTGCTGGCCAATGCTCTAACCACCCGGACTACAGAAATAATTAAAAGCTTCCTTCCCTTTTAACTCTGACCTTAAGCAGGGAGACCCTAATAATCTGCCTTCGCATCATCCCAAAAGACTCATCATCCTGAAAGACTCATACTGTCTTCGTGGATCCTAAACTGGAGTTCACCATACAATTAGGCATCACCCTGCACAGCTAGTTTGGTAAGCAATTTGATCAAAACCTGCATCCTTAACAGTTTTTCCTCACCAATACTTAGAAGCTCCTGCCGTAACCTTAAGCAACCCAGCTGGGGAAGAAAAAGACCTGATAAATCCTTTGCCACCATCCCACATTACCATATCCCCCGGCTTCTAGTCATGCTTGCCTACTCAGTTGCTATGCTGATGTGACAGAAAGAAGACAAAGCAGAAGCGCTAGTTGATGTTGAACATGGCAGCAGACCAAGAAAAAACAAGCAAGCAAACATTTTTTTTTATTCACTTTGTATTCCTCGGGAGTTTATGAAAGGATGGGATCTATTAGCATTCAGCAGTAGGGATTTGGGTTTTTTTCAGGGAGTCATACGTAATCAAGACCAAGAACGATATTAATCATAAAATTTCTCATAGAAATATTAATAATGACATGCATTTGTCAGAAATACGATCAAGCTCCTAATTTCAGTTCACTCAGACCTCAGAAAATAGAAAAACCTAACTCCCTCCCTTTTTGGTACAGTACCTAGATCATAGCATCATTCTTGCATAACATCATTCATCAGTGTTCAGGTACCAAATTATTTGACCTGGAACTGGGAATAGCTGCAATTACTTGCCCTGATACAGAAAAAGCCCTCAGATTTCTGGATTTTTTTTTTTTTTATTAGAGGGATTCAGCAGATCTCTACAGAAGCACTGCTGGATCATGTGATGGAGAGGTCCTCTGGAAGGATACGCAAACATAGTACAGCCACTAGCATTCACACCCCCAGAGGAACTGAGCAGAAGGCTGCGGGGAGACCTGATTGCGGCCTTTCAGTACTTAAAGGAAGCCTATAGGAAAGATGGGGAAAATCTTTTTAGTAGGGCCAGCAGTGACAAGACAAGGGGTAATGGTTTTAAACTAAACCAGGGTAGGTTTAGACTAGATATAAGGAAGAAATTCTTTACAATGAGGGTGGTGAAACACTGGAACAGGTTGCCCAGAGAGGTGGTGGAGGCCCCATCCCTGGAAACATTCAAGGCCAGGTTGGACAGGGCTCTGAGCAACCTGATCTGGTTAGCGGTGTCCCTGCTCCTGCAGGGGGGTTGGACTAGATGACCTCTAGGGGTCCCTTCCAACCCAAAACATTCTATGATTCTATGATGATAGTGATAGAGTTGGCCTCACCATTGACACCTGCAGGTTTTGAACAATTTGGCAGATTAAAACAACACTGTCTGAAGCACTGTTCAGTGCTACTGATCAGCAATGCATTGACCAGTTCAGCATCTTCCAGCAACTCTCGGTTCATTTACAGGTAATCAAGTAGCTCTTAAGTGCTGCATCAACCCGTACTTGAGATTCAGCTCAAGGACTCATCTTAAGCAGACATTTGGTTGCATTACTGGCTGAAGTTATAGGCCTGCAGAATTTAACCTAGCATGGAACTGATGATCATCTACAGAATTTATACAAAACTATAAAAATGATTAGCAAGAAGTTAAACCTAAGCATTGCATTCATTACAGTAGAGGGGGAAGGAATCTATTCACGCTTGCAAACATTTTCTTCAAATCAGTAATCAAATGAAGTTAGTCACAAGCCTCCTAATAAAGATGAAGTTATCTGATCTGCTAAGTCGCAGCATATGATACACAGTAGCAGTATATGCAGTAGCTAGAAAATATGCTGGTTATTCTTCCATTGCATGACATTTTATATGCTTTACACAGATCATTTAATCAACTTTCACTGGCAGACAAAATGTATCCGATAATGATCCAAAAGTGTAAGATATTGTTTAGTGAGCAAACATTTTAAGTCTTAAGCAGATATGTCAATAGAAATTAATCCTAAAAGTCTAATCGTACAAAGTGATTGATGTATTAAGAAGGTAATCTTTAGCACAGGAGTGTAAAGACAACTATCTTTTCTGAAATGTCTATCTTTTGAAAAGCATAAGGTAGGAATAAATATCGAGTTTTCATACAGTGTTACGCAGGTGTCTGCCAAGTCAAGTCGTTAAGGCTCATGGCCTTAACGACTTGACTTAACGACTTAGCCAAGGAATGGCTGCTTCGACTCTGCAGCAATCAGCCGGATGCCACTTTACTGCTCAACAGGCGAGAGTCCAGCTCTTCCCCCCCAGGAAGGGCTTGCAGCCTCAGGCGTGGAAGCGCGTCCACCAACACACCATACGTGTTCTCCCAGTTTACACTAACAGAAGCCAGGCACTTCTCTAAACTTCTCTCGACTGGAGCTTGAAACAGGCAACAAGGATGGTCAGCTAACACTACGACTACATATATCCTCCTAGCCCACTGCAAACGTGAAACAGAACTGTTCTATGGGGTTTAAGCTCATCCATTTTACCTACCCATTGCAAATGTGAGAAAGGGGACGCGTCATCTGAGGGATGCCAAGCAGCAACTTGTTAAAACATTTGATGACTTTAAATTGCCCATCTCAAATTATAACCAAAGCTATTTAGGTTTTGAATT